TTCTGCTCCCTGCATGAATTACCTTACATTAATCTACGCTAAATTCCATCTGCCAGGTATCAGCCCAGTTCCTAATTAAATCAAGATCCCATTGTAGCCTCTGTGCTGCTAGGTCAGTATCTGCTACACCACCCACCTTGGTGTCATCTGCAAATTTAACCAGTTTACTGTATGTATTGATGTCAATATCGTTCATGTAAATTAGTAACAATAATGTTCCTAAAATTGAACCCTGCGGTACCCCACTATGAATGCAGGTCCACTGTGACATTGTGCCTCTAATAACTACCCGCTGCTTCCTGTCTGTTAACCAGTTTTCGATCCAAGCTACCACAGTTCTTAAAATCCCTGCAGCTTTAAGCTTAAGCGAGAGCCATTTGTGGGGGACAACATCAAAGGCCTTCTGGAAATCTAAGTAGATCACATCGTAGGCCTTTTTGTGATCAATTTCATTGGCCAATTTCATAGGCCAATCAGTTTAACTTAATCATTTTTTTCAGTGTGAGATGAAGCAACTTCACCAAAAGGTGGATTTTTTTCTTACCCCTTTTACAAAGGGGTGCCAATAATTGTGGAGGGTGCTATATATTAGTTATAGATGATGCTGTATTTGTACTAAATAGTGGTAAGTTACTCATGTCCTCTACAGTGAACACCCGTGTAAAATAATCATTAAACTCATTCACTATATCAATATCATTTTCAATTATAAGGCCATTACTATACTGCAGATTAGTGATTTCAGCTTTTAGAGCTCTTATGGAGTTAAAATATTGGAAGAAACTCATCCGTAGCCTCCAATGCAAGCTTCCTTTCAACATTCCTCTTAGGGAGTCTAATTTCATTTTTGAACTCATTTTGTACACTTAGATACTCTTGCTTTATTTAGAAATCATTAGTTATTTTCCACCTTAGTATCTCCAGCATACAATGTGAAAAACCCAGTAATACTCACCTTACTATCCCCAGGTTATAGTGTGGAATACCCAGTAAGACTGACCTCAGTATCTCCAGTTTACAGTGTGAGTCCCCCAGTCCAGCAGAGAGCAGCTTCACTCCTGAATCCTGCAGGTCATTGTCACTCAGGTCCAGCTCTCTCAGGGGTAAGGAATTTGATCTGAGAGCTGTAGCCAGCACCTCACAGCATTTCTCTGTGAGTTCACACCAGCCCACCCTTAAAAAAATTAAACACTTTTAAATCCACTTTTTACACTGCAGCAGTGTATTCAAATGAGGAGAATAGGTGCCATGACATAATGGATTTTCGGAAAACAATTAATTCACTAAAAATCATTTTACCAATCATCCCGATTCTGTTTGGTGTCCATTATATTTTTCAATAACATGTTAAAATCAGCATGTTTAACTGTAACAGTACTGTTAACTTTGCTAAGCTACACAAATGTTTTGCCAGGATTATATGGTTGAATGGATGTTTGCTGCTTCACTACTTAATTATTTCTAACATGGATCGAGGGCTGATAAGTTGTGGGATATAAGTGTCATGACCTGCTCGTACGATCCTTCCACAGCACATAACAGAATGACGGATCTCCGAAAGAAGACGCCTCCATTGACGGAGACGGAATATATCGCTCTAATCAGCAAGGCTGTATAATGGATGCAGCAGCCAGACATTCAGGAAGACCCCGCGGCTCGCGCCTTGGCTATTCATACGGGGGGACGTCCTGCGAGGGATTTCCCCGTAAAAAGATGCGTTCCTGGCCGAAGAGGTGAGGCTAAATTTACGGCAGCTCCGGAGTCAGGTGGCAGAGATAAACAGACAGCAGATCACCCTAGACTGCGGTCTGCCTATTGACCCGCTGGCTGATCTGCCCGACGTGACCCCGACCATAAGCCGTAAGAAGAAGCGGAGAAACAAGCATCTGGCTGCAGACCTCCACCAGGAGGATCTCCACTACAGGGACGGAAACACGTGACCTCCACAAGTGAGTCCGGACATGACGTTATGCAAACTTACGCCATGGAGGCAGTACCAGATATCACATGATCTCCAAGCACAGCCTGGATTTGTCAGTGGGAGGGTGTTTAGCTTTGTCGAAAGAAAAAAGTGGGTAGAACAAGCAACAACGGTAGCATTCGACTGGTGATTTTTTTTTCTCCAAATTTAGCTTTAAATTGATTACTTAAGCTAAGACTGACTGTCTACTGAAAAAGAAAAAATATTTATAAAATTATAAATAAATGTATAAATATTTGTCTTCTGCGCACAAGTTATTATTTGGAAGGAATGAATTAGCTGCGTATAGCTGTCATGTTATAAGAGGTTTATTTCAGGACGCCGTACTACGTTTGCTAGACCTGGCATTAGGGTACAGTAAGATACAACAGCCTTGTAATTAATATTACTGGAAGGAGTAAATACAACGCTGCCGCGTACTACTTTGACATTAAGGCTGAGGTATAGGCTATACAGTCCGTATGAATGGTCGTGACAGAGGTGAAGCGATATGAACAATATTTTTTTCTTTCATTAACGGTAGTCAATAATAAAACAGGTAAAATAAATACAATAAATTGTGTCAGTAATGACAAGAAATGTTAGGGGAACTTGGTGAGGCGAACAAATCAACAAACCGAGTAAAGTGGTAAAAATAGTAGGCTATTTCTTGACGCAACTGAACCGAACATCAGTGTCAACAATATTAAAGATGCACAAAATACAGCCTGCGTGCAATAAATTGTGACCAAGTTATATAAGTTATTATAAATGTAGTACTTTTGATTATTTGAATATGATTCGCAAATTGACGGAATATAGGGTTATGCCTACTAATATTGACACTGATGTTTTGTTCGGTTGCGTTAAGACAGATTATGTTTTCTACTTTAATTGGTTTGCTGATTTATTCACCTCACTGAGTTCAAGTAACATTTTTTGATATTACTGACACCTATTTATTGTATTTACTGTACCTGTTTATCATAGTGTATTATTATGATTAACGATAATGACCGAAGGAAAAATATTGTCATGTGGCATGAATTCATGTCGCTTCACCTCTGTCGCGACCATAAACACGGACTGTATAATTCACCCTTAATGCCAAAGAAACAGTTTGCAGCATTAAAAAAAATGTAAAATGAGTTCATGGTGTTACTTGTTGACTGTAAATAAATGTCTCTCCAGTTTGATTTGTTTAGACGTCGAGACATAGTTTTGGTAGACATAGTTCTCATATTACTCTCGGCCTCAAACACAGAGTAAATTATCTTGTGCGCACAGAATAACTTGTGAGCACAAGAAAATAACTTGTGCCACACGATTAAAAAAAAATAAATCACCCTATGGGACTTCGGGGGCTCCGTATTAAAGTGAGAATTTCACACGTACCGAAATAATAAAAATAACACATGCAATTAACATCCCTTCTTGTAGAATTAAAATACATTATTAACGTCCGTTTCCAATGTTAATAATATAAATTACTGTGTGTGACGATTATGTGATATCTGGTACCACCTCCATGCATGTTTGCATAACGTCATGTTCGGATTCGCTTGTGGAGGTCACGTGTTTCCGTCCCTCTAGTGGAGATCCTCCTGGTGGAGATCCTCCTGGTGGAGATCTGTAGCCAGATCCTTCTCGCTCCAGACGCCACCGCTACCGGGTTGACACACGAGCGTGTGTCTGACGCAGCCGTCACGCGGCCAACGCTGGCAGCTCACCCCTTCCGGGAATCGCGCCTGGCTCTTAAAGGGGCCAGGGTAATTTGAGATGCCATCCCGTGTGTCCCACGGTCCCTTAAAGGGACAGCGCTTGCTCATGAGGCACCAACCCTGATGGCTACACCTGATTTTCCCGACCCGCCGGCACCTGATGTTCCCGACCCGCCTGTTCTTGTGCTGTCTAACCAGCCTGTTCTGTCCGAGCCTGACCTGCTGGTACCGAAGGTCCTTAAAGGGGCTATGTCTGCTGCTGAGGCACAGACCTCTGCAGTGCCCCCTGCGGTTCCTGTGCCGGTGCTGTCTGCTGCTACGCCCAAGGTCCCTGCTACTGTGCCGCCCGCTGTTGTGCCCCAGGCTCCGCCCGCACCCAATGTCCCGGTCCTGGCTCTGCTCGAGCCCGATGTTCCGGCTCCGCCTGTCCTGTTTCCAGTCCCAACTCCTGCACCACCCGTCCTTGAGGAGGTCCCAGATTGTCAGAACACTGCTCCTTCCCCCTTGGGTGAGGAGGAGCTGGAATGGGATCCCTCAGGATCTGTTCCTCCATTCTCTGTGCCCTCTATGTCTCCTTTCCTGGTCTGCCTGTCTGCGTTCCCTGTTTTGTGTCAGGTCCTGTCTTACATCCTGTCCCTGTTCTGTGTATCTGTTCTGTTCCCTGTTCCTCATTGATGTTCTTGGTATTGTTTTCCATGTCCTGTCTTCCCGGTTTCGTCTCATCCTTCGCCTTCCCTGAGACGCACCTCGAGTGCGCGCCTTTGGGGGGGGGTTCTGTCATGACCTGCTTGTACGATCCTTCCGTGTGCCACACCGCCCTCGTTACCTCATGTGAATTCCTGATTGTTCTCAGCTGTTCTGCATTTCCGTCCATTAGTCTTGTGTATTTAAGTCCACGTCAGAGTTTGTATCCCCAGATCCGTCATTAACGTTTTGTTGTGTTTTGGTGATTTTGTCCTGTATGCCTCTCCATCTCCCCATTAAATCCCTTTTTGCCCCAGCATTTTTACCTTTTGCCTGCTTCCCCAGTCCGAGCACCGCGGCATATAACAATAAGGAAGCAGGAGAAGAAAACAGAAGCTGTTTGTGTTTGTTTATTATGTAACTGCTGAAATGCGTTGTGGGTTTTCTTGGTGTCCAGTTCCTTTTTTGTAAAAATGCATATTCTGTACTCACCTCAGCTTCTCCAGTTTAAAGCTGGGATCCTCCAGTACAGCAGAGAGCAGCTTCACTCCTGAGTCTCCTGGGTGATTGTAGCTCAGGTCCAGCTCTCTCAGGTGTGAGGGGTTTGACCTCAGAGCTGAAGCCATGGAAGAACAGCCTTCTTCTGTGACTCTACAGCCTGCCAGCCTGCAGAGACAGAAACTCTCCAATAAATCATATCACCTCACCATTACAAGTATTAAATAAATGTGACTGCTCTAATATATATTTCAAGAATTACAGTTTAGTATCTAAGAGTAGGCAGGCCCCCTCCTCCCTTTCCCTTAGGTAATCTCCTCTGTATAGTGTGGAATACATCTCTCTCTCCATCGGTTCCCCTCAGGGCTGTGTCACGTTGCTGACTCACGACTGCTGTGCTGCATCTGCCTCAAATCACATCGTAAAATACGCGGATGACACAACAGTGGTGGGTCTCATTAGGAACCACAATGACCTGCCCTATAGAGAGGAGGTGAAGCGACTGGTGGGATGGTGCAGTGACAACAGCCTGATCCTGAATGTGGAGAAGACCAAGGAGATGATCATCGACTTCAGGAGAAAACAGCCCAGTCATTCATCACTCGTCACTGACAACAGTGCTGTGGAAGTGGTCAGCAGCATCAGATTCCAGGGGGTGCAGATAACTGACAATCTGGACTGGTCACCAAACACAACATCACTGGTAAAATGGGCTCAGCAGTGGTTGCATTTCCTGCACAGGATGAAGAGAGCTTTCCTCTCCCATCCTCACCACTTTTTACCGAGGCACCATAGAGAGTGTGCTGACCAGCTGTATCTCCATCTGATTTGGCAGCTCGAAAGCCTCAGACTAGAAATTGCTGCAGAGAGTGGTGAGGACTGCAGAGAGGATCATCGGGACTTCTCTTCCATTCATCCAGGACATTGCACTCAAACACTCAGCAGAGCCTGTGACATCATCAGGGACTCCACCCACCCCCACCACAGAATGTTCTCCCTGCTGCCTTCTGGGAAGAGGCTTTGCAGCATCAAGACCAGGACAGCCGGATTCTGTAATAGTTTCATTCCTCAAGCCATTAGACTCCTGAACTCATGACAGCCCCTCCCCAAACTCTGCCTCTGTCCATCCAAGCAAGTGTCACTTTTTAAAGAACTTTATGCACTATATGTCTTGCACTATAACTGATATGGTGATGTATACTGTTTTTTTTTGCTGCTATACTGCAGTTAATATATTTTTATGTTAGTTCCACTTATATTCTATTTCCATCCATCCATTTTCCAACCCGCTTATCCTTTTTTGGGCCGCGGGGGGG